TCTCTCTCTCTCTCTATGTCCGGTACTAACCTGTGAAGGTGGCGCCTTGTTGCAGGTACATCGAAGACGAAGCTGGAGCGATGGCGCCACAGGTAAGTCTCCTTGGCCTCTGCCCTCTCTCCATCTCTCCAACGCTACTCTAGCTCCTAATAGCGCCCAGCGCTGAAGACTACTCCTAACGCTACTACTACTGCAGCGCTCCTCCAGAGTGCTGCTGCCGAAATCCTGAAGACTGCCTCCTGCCTCCTGCACGTGAAGTGCCCATGAACTGCCTGTGAACTGCAGGGCGGACCAGTTCTATATGGTGCTGGTCCGGCCTAGGAGGCTGCCCTTGCCCATGCCGAATCGTGCCAGACCCTGGCGTTGAAGTTCAGACAAAGGTTGTCTTGAAACAGGCCCAAAAATGGCTTGTGCTAAAACCCTGGTCTGGTGCCTAAGTTTCAGGGCAGGTCGACCTTATGAGGGCCTGAAAATGGCCCTCAGTTTCAGGCTGAAAAGACCCAGGGCCTGGAGGGCCCTTTTTTAAACTGAAACGACATAGGGCCTGGAAGGCCCTTATTTTCCATCTGGTCAGGCCCTACAGGCCCGTGTGGCTGTGCAGTATGCCACGCCCCCGCCTCCTTGAAAGACCAAGCTTACCTGCGAGGGCGAAGCTGCCTGTCGGAGGGAGGGACCAAAGTTCGGGTGGGAGGGGCAGGTCATGAAACTTCCTTAGCTAACCTTTGTCGTTCGTAGTAAGCGTAGATCAGCGGTGCGGATGCCTCCAAATCTGCTCCTGAAATCCATCGAGTGTCGTCGAGATCGCATGCTTTAAAGGTAACTTTGTACTGTCGAGGCTTGCTGCAGTCCTTGCGATCCGTGATGACGCGGTCAACTTCGTAATGACCATCCATAGATGGAGGGTCTTGCGATCGTCGGCCCGGGAAGTTGTCGCTCTTAGCTGGTGTGTATGTCGCCAGCTTCGAGGCGTGAAAGACTGGATGGACCGTCAGATGCAGGGGGATGTTGATCACAAATGAGGGGCCATCGGGCTCATCGCCTGCGGCTGATGTTACGGGCCATGGTCCAAACCACTAGGGGAGCGAGTGCAAACTCTTCCTAGGAGACCCAAACCAGATCACCGATGCGGATGGGACATGGCACGCGACGCCTGTTGGCTTGCTGCTGCATGCGGACTTGAGCTTTTTGCATGTTTGCGGGGGCTTGAGCCAGCAATTCCCTGTACTCCCGGACGGAAGCGGGAGAGCAAGCGGCGTCTATGTTGGCTGGTCGTGGCACGAGAAGATCAGCGAAGATACGGCCTTTCCGGCGACCGTGGTGCAACTCGAATGGCGTCACGCCGATCGCCGGATGTAACGAGCTGTTGTAGGCGAACTCGATGTCGGGGAGGCGGTCAACCCAATCCTTCTGATCCGGATCACCCTGGATATCCCACACGCATCGCTCTAACATTCGAGCACACACACACACTCACTACAAACTACAGCTATGGCAGCTATGGCTGCCTCTAACCTATCGCTATGCTAACTCCTCCTCTCTTGCCCACTGYGTCCTCCGGGCTCATCTGCAGACCTCCTTGCACAAGTCGCTGTGGCAGTGCTTCCGCATGGCTCACGCAGGAATGAATGAATGGCTGGGCGCTGCCTCTTGATTTATACTTCAGAAA